CTTAGTCAAGTTTTGTTTGAAACCATTGGACTAAGGAACTGCTTAGTCAAGTTTTGTTTGAAACCATTGGACTAAGGAACTGCTTAGTCAAGTTTATTATGTCATGAAATATTGACTGTTACTGCACTTGAAATAAATGCTAAATTGATGTGCTTGGGAGTATATTTTCCAAATAAAGTCCCCATCCGTAAATGCTACTTGTTAACTCGGGTACATCCCCGGGCCGTGGTATTGTGGATAGCCGCTATTGTGTTGAAAGTTCCACCCAGAAAGGGGTGGACATTACCTATGTTTTCTTGTCTAATCATGTGGAATTTGGACCACTGATGAATTAGTACATCTACGAACTGTGGGACCTAAGTAAGTGTACGGGCTACTTATGGTCGTTCGTAAAATAATGGGGCAAGTTAGTCAGGTAAGGCTCAGTAGCGCTCAATTTTTTTCATCGTGGAAGATTTACATTTATTAAGTGCAAAAGATTCGCATAAGTTTGCAAATATTTGGTTTGTRCATTAAATTGTTTTATGCATGTGAAAACCCGTGAGCTCACCAACTCTTTGTAGTTGACTCGTTTTATGTTCCATGCTTTTCAGGTAACAAGTAAGAAATGAAGTATTTTGGGAGCATACTTGTGGAAAACTGATTAAGTTCGCAATGGAAGCTTTTGTAAAAGAAGTATTTGTCAAAAATTTGGTTATGATGTTAAACTCATTTTATTTTGAAAAATTGGAAAGTGTTATTTATTAATTGTTGCTGTGACTCGCTTGCCTGTTACATCTCGTGTTTCCGCTTTAGCGGGGTGTGACAATGTTTTCGGAAAGTAAATATTTTTTTTGGAAACGAGTACATTTTCTGAGCAGGTATTTCCTGAGATTTTACTTGCCTAATTTCTCATCGATCATAATTCTAATACGTGTTTCAGCTATTCTTCAAACTGTTATTATCACGTCTATTATAATAATATCATTTTCGGTGATAATATGCTCGTTAGTATTCAAAGTTTGTTTTCTGATTTTTTTTGTGCTATGATTGATACACATTCGTTAATTCTTTGAAAATCAGAATCTGCAAACTTGTTCTTACAGATCTTCATTCATTTCTCCCGCA